ATCAGCAGATACATATTCACATGTAAGTAATAAATGGCCTATGATGTTTTTTGAAGTAATGTCTGTAGATTCTTGGTCTAGGTACCGAACTGAAGGTTACAGTAATCTACCTTTACCCAAAAGTCCAGGTTTTAACAAATTTTATTTCATACACTTGAATCGACATATTTAAACAATTTTAACTTACAATATAATGTCACGTTTCAGTTTATGCTTATTTAGGTAAACCTTTTTTTCTGAAAATTGAAACATTTATTTTTTTTATTTCATGTTAATTTTATTTTTTCATCTTGATGTCAGCATTCTTATATAACTTAACTATCCCATACAACACCTTATCTATTGCTAATTTATCATTTGTTTATATATTATTATTAAACAGTAAAATTTAAACAGAAATAGGTTCAGACATTAGGGCATAATATTTTACGTTCACAATTTCTATTTTGCCAGCAACATTCCATTTGCATTCTTAATTATTTTCATTTTTTCCCAACATTGCTAAATATCTTGTCGATATATCTATTTTTCTACCTACTTCCAAAACTTGAACTTGTTTTAATACAAAGAGTAATACTTTAGTTCCAAACCTGAATTTCATGTATTTTTGAAATGCGTCTCTAAAATGTTGCGTAAATTTGTATACTCGTTGTTATACTGGCATAAGCATTTACAACTGTTCAAATTTTCGGTTTAACATTTATAATTGCGGTCACGAATTTTTATTTGCATTTATTTGCCGCCATTTTGACTACCGCAAAATTTATGTATATATCATAGTTTTTATTTTTAATTTACTTCAGTTTCAGTATTTTCGTTTTTAAAAAGTTTTTATATTTTAGTTTCTATTTCAGTTTTTCAACTTTTCAGTTTTAGTTTCTATTTCGTTTTCAAGCACTTAATGTTGTTTCATATTTCGTTACCGTTTGTAAAAAAAGGTAATATCTGATGCAAAATTTGTTCAGCGAATTAGAAATAATAAAAGTAAGTTTCTAGACGGAACTAATATAAAGTAAGTGTAATATTTAAATGTAATTATATAAGGTACAAAGTAAGGTACGTGTTTTTAATCAATCAACTATTTTTCGTTTACTTAGTTTTGTTGCTAATGTTTGATCATTATCTACTCAATTAAAATATGTTTAAAAGTGAAAAATAGATTTTTTTGCCAAACAGTAAAAGTACCTAGAGTCGTGTTGTTTTTTCCAGGGCATCGAACCGTAATTTTTTCGTTTCGGTTTACGGTTGCGGTTCAGTCAGCAGAACGAATTTTGGTTCTGGTTTTTGCTCCTGAGATAATATCGATTTTTTAGTCCTCGGTTTTGCTCCGGAACTTAATTTTTTTTTAAGCATTTTTTCTTAAACGCATGTAACGCACATCCCACTATCGCCACAATGTCAATTTGAATTATATTTTGCAACTTGTGAATAATAAAAAAGCAATAACAAAAATGATTTTTCAATGCTGTCAGTATAAAAGGAAACGTTTCTAATATTTTTCTTTAACATATTAAAACAATCATTACAAAGATGTTTTGAAATCATTCATATAGATATAAGATTGTTTCAAAAAAGATGAAAATTTTCTCTAATTATCGATATATATAAATTTTTTTTATTTAAATCACTTCTGCAGTCTCTGTGGATAAATTTTAATCTAGAACAAGATCTTCCAGGCTCACTTACGTGGCTGGTACTCCAAGATTTTGAAGATGATCGTACCTGATCTCAAATTTCTCCGATTATATTGAATTTCTCTTCACGTAGCAATTCTTACTTAAGAATAGCAACTCTGTCGGAAAAACAAACGAAAGGAAAGATATCAAATTTTCAAAGATAATAGAAATTAATATAGAATTTTAAAAGACGAAATATTATTTAAATATATTTTTTATGAATTTGACAAAAATATTTTTTTTTAAATTTTTAGCATCGAAACGTTATTAGTTTCGTTACGGTTTTCAGTTTTGATTAAACTAGCAAACAATATTTTCGGTTCGGTTATGGTTTTGGTTCTGAGCAAAATTTTGGTTTTTAACGGTTTTCGGTTGCGGTTCAGTTCCGGTTCGATGCCCTGGTTTTTTCGCGCTTACTTGAAAATTACCATAGCCTATGTGCGTATGTTGCGGTGTGTGCACGTGCATGTAAATATTTGAGTGCGTTGTGTGGTGTGGATGTTACTAACTTTTCAGAATCTCATAACGAAGCTCACAATGAATCTTATGGAATCTTATGTAAACGAACGATTTTCTTATTAATTTTAATAAACTAGATAATAATTATATATAATATATATATATATATATATATATATATATATATATATATATATATATATATATATATATATATATATATATATATATGTATATATAATGTGATGTAGTGATTTAGGATATTTAAACATTACTCCAAAGGAGTGAAAAAATGCAGACTTAATTGCTGGCGACCTGTTGGCAATGGAAATTCGGTGCTTGCTAATCTGAAACGTTATTTTATTGGAAATTGTTCAGATATGAGTGATATTTCAACATATTCCGTGATCAAAGTAATTTTTCAGTTTGTTTGTATTTTATAAGTAAATCCGCAGTATGACGCAAAAGCTGTCTAAATATAATTATATTTAAATAATTTTGTCCAGGATGGCAATCTTTGTAAATTCGGTTTGAAAACAGTTTCAACTGGAACTATTTTTATACGAACATATACAGTGATGCAATATGAGTAATTTCAATATTTAATTTTTTTACTCAATAAATATTTATATTACATTCAATGTAAACAGAGCGTTTTCTGAGAACAATTTAAGCTTCGCAAATTTATCTTTGAACAATGAAAGTTTTAAAATGAAGATGAATTCCAATGTTTCCAAGGCTGTAATTGGTTAGATTTTATTTTAATTCAATTTTTACTGTATACTGCACAACGTGCAAGAAAATTTATTAAGTTATGCTTATCAACAAAAACCGCTAAAAATTTACTTGATGTAAACTCTGTTGCAAAATAAACTTTCGAAATATAATCGTTGTTGTTATATACGTTTTTCATACCATATACAGTATATTATTTATATATGTTGGAAGGAGACAATATATATTCACAATTCGTTTATTTATCAAACCAATAAAGATTTGACCTAGAGACCTGGAAGATTAAAAATCTTGTATCGGCCACCAGTTCAGAATATTTGAAAAAATTGGAAAATAATATATAATTTATATAGTTCTGATTATATCAAAAATTATAACAGAAAACCCTTAGATTGGATTTAAGTAAAAAAAATAACACAAAAATAAAAGGAAAAGAAAAGAGCGACTCTTGATTTAACACATAAACATAACTTAATATTTTGCAGTAGAAAAAAAATTGCATGAAATCAAATTTATGACCGAATTTTTAAAATGATGAAAACTGTTTGATTCTTTAATTGTATTAGGTTATGTGTTCCACAGACGCATTGAAACAATTAGAACAAAATTAATAATAAAGGTCGTTCTTGGTTTGGGAAAATAAAGGGTTGGATTGTTTTTAAAGTAATTTTGTCTAGGATTAGTAAAACTTTTAAAATATTCACTAAGATGAGGACAGCAATTTAATTTATAAAGTTTAAAAAAAATCTAATGTATATAATGTATGTAAATCTTTTACAGGCTAAATGTTTGAGGATTTATGATAAATACTTATACGATCAAATTTTTTAAAATTAAATAAAATTCTAATAAAAAAATTTTGATTCAATTTCAAAGTATGTAAATGAGATTTTTGACTGTTACCCCAGATTGAAACACAATAAATAAAATATGGAAAAACTAATGTGTTATATAAAGAGTACAAAATAAAATTAGAAAATCTTAACTTAATCAATCAATCAATCTTCGTTTTGCGTCCAGAGACGCGTTTTCCCGAGGTAGGACGTTGTTCTCTTTGCCATCTACTTTTTGCGCCAAATTAGACGATCAGTTGTATCCATCTCATTTACTTCCCAGGGATTCTTGGCACCCCTTGACCACTTAAGGCCTGCTGGGGACTAGGGGCCGTTGTTTTTTTTGTGATGGCATAATAGTAATTTGGGGAAAGTTTTTACATCCGGACACCCTTCCTGACGACAACCACCAGTTATAAGCGTCGGGCTAAGCCTTTTGCTCAAAAGCTCGCAAGGCAGCGTGGATGCAGCTCAACAAAAAATCTTAACTTAAGACGGTAAATAATACCTATATTTTTCGATGCTTCACTAGATATATGATTAATATGATCTGGCCAAGACAATGAACTATATATATATATATATATATATATATATATATATATATATATATATATATATATATATACTGTCCTCCAATACGTTCCCGTTTACTAGATTTCACCATTCTTATTAACGATATATATATTAATCGTGTTGATTCTATAAAATTTTTGGTTCTTGGCCAGATCATATTAATCATATATCTAGTAAAGCATATATATATATATATTGTCGGAGATTTTAAAAATAATAAATGAATGATAAGGAGGG